GCTGCTTACAATTGAGGCATATGACTTCTTTGGTGCTTCAACTTTAGAGTTAGATTCAGCTTCAACTTTAGAGTTAGATTCAGCTTCAACTTTAGAATTAGACTCAACCTCAACTTTGGGTTTGGATTCAGCTTCAACTTTTATGAATGATTCAGCTTCAACTTTATTCACTACTTGGGAATCATCAGGAATATCGTTGACGACTTCAGGTTCTGGTACTTCCTTCTCTTCAACAGAAACTACTCCATTTTCAGAAGGTTTGAACAGTTCCTCCTTGACAACGTCCTCAGACACTGAAATCACAGGCTCTGGGACATGATTGTCCTGCAAAGCAGTAGCATCTGCAAAAAGAATATTCTCAAACTCAAGTAGATTGAACCAAAATTACCCACTTGAAAGACTTAGAGAAGCAGCAGTTTAAGCCATACCATGTTTGGGAGTAATAGGAGGTTCAACTTCAACATCAACAACCAATCCATTGTCCTCGTTTTCAGGGTTGGAATCTTCAACATATCTAAAGACATCGTTCAAAACAAAGTAGCCTACGTCTTGTGGCGCCAAGAAAAAACTTTGAGTAAATGTCTTCCTTAAAAGGTCCTTTCCAGTTAAATACCCAGTGACAAGAACAAATACTCCCCCATTGTAAGATTCTTGAGCATCCACAGTTTTGATATTTGCACTGAGCTCTCCATAATCAAGTATCTTCTTGTTGATTTCCTGTCCAATAAAATGCAATGACACTCACAATTTCAGTGGACAAAATTTAAAGATACCCACAGCATAAACATCTACGTCACAAATACTGTACTTTAGTAACAATTGTAAACATGATCTGGCATAAACATGAAGTTGTCACAAAGGTAGGGTATTGTAAGGAGCTTACCTCCATGGTGGTTGTAATGCTCATGATCCCATCATCTCCCGGACGACCAAGCTTACTGATATCTTGGTAAAAACGATGAACAAGCTCAGGAGATTGTTCCAAGATATTGTAGTACTGAAGAACAAAGGCATTGCCAACCTATATTTAACAAAATGTTCCAACAAAATTCAGTTAGCAACCATCAGGATCAATACGGTAATCAATCATCGACAACTGTACATATTTAATATCAATACATACAACGTCGGCAGTAGGAGCGAGACTCGCAACTGGGGCTTGCTGCACCATCGTTGCCATCTCTGATCAACCTCCAGAACCAAACAAAAACAAAACCATTACATGTAGAACCATAAAAATTTAACTAGATCATTTATTCAAAACATAAATACAAAAATTACCAGCACCAAAAGAATTACACTTTCAAAAAAAATTACATCAAACATATTTTCCTCAATTTAACTGAAGATACATTAACATATATATGTATATTCCTTAATTTAAATACATACTTTCCAAAATAAATATTAAGTGAAATTCAGCACAAGTTCGTACACTACAACATTTAAGCAAAAATTAAATTAAATTAAATAAAAAAAAATTGAAGCTCAAATCACTTCACTACAAGCTAAAGCATACGAGTTCAGATTTCTAGGAAACAAAGGGAGATCCAAAGCGAGCGAAAATCAACAAAAACACACATGAAAATATTCAAAGCGTAATGAAATGTGTGAGATTTGAGAAGAGAGAAAGAGTTACCTGAGCGCGGATCGGCGGAAGTGAGGTGAGAGAAGAAGAAAAGGTAGGCGGAGAGCTCGGCGACTTCTCTCACCTCCTCTCGGCGGCGTTTGGCGGTTTCTAGGGTTTTGAGCGGATCTCCAAGAGGCGCGAGAGCGTTGGTACAGGAGGAGGGAGTGGGAGACAGAAAGTGAGAAAAAGGGTTTTTGGGTCATTATATATGAGAGAAGGAAATTGAAATTTTTTATTATTTTATTTCTCTTGCACAAATTTAAGTTTTTAATTTGGATTTTTTACTTGGGAACTTTAACGAAAAGCACTCGGTACTATTTACTTTAACGAAAAACCACATTTTTACACTAAAAAGTCAATCCTGATACTATTCACTTTACTCTTTATTTTGTCCTTATCATTAAAACTCAAAGTTTTAAAGCCATTTTCATTAGTTTTCCTTTTTTACTTCTCATACATCATTCATTAATTTTTGTTTTTTGATATTTTTCAATTCATATGATCCGATAGTAAGAAAATTAAAAAAATATGTGAAAAGTAAAAAAATGATGTGTAGGTACCATACCCCTTCAATTTAACTAATTCAATATTATTTTTTAGGACAGAAAAATTAGAAAATAAAACAAAGGTGGAATCCTAAGTGCAATTTTTTATCTAATCCTCATTGGACAAAATAAAACTTAATTATGACTAGATGAAGCTCAATAAACAATTTAAAAAATAAATAATATATATATATATAGAAAAGAGAGAAGTTGGAAAAAAATGAGAGAGAGAGAGAGAGAGAGAGAGAGTATGGGTTTTTGAAAAAAAATAGAGAAGGCATGATGAGATGTGGGGTGAGGTTTGAAAAAGAAAACAAAATTTAGTTGGTGCAAAATTACAGTGGCTACTGGTCATGATTTTATTTTGTGATAGACGAACAATTTGACTCTTCATTCTCTTGTGGATGACAAAATCTTTTTGTTAATAGGTAATTTAGATAATGATTATTGTTTTAAGCATTCACTAATTCCTTACTTAGGGTACTTGAATATATAAGGGCATGTTACTTCCTTGAAATTGAAGGTGTCATAAATCAAAATGATATGTTGTTTAGTCCCTAAGTGAATGATATCTAGTTGTTCATACATGGGTATCTAATTTTATTGCATGTTAAAAATTAAATTGATACGAGTCTATTGCATACTCATTCATGATAAATAAACATGTCATAAGTAAAGCAGTGAGAGCTTCAAAGATGGAATTTTATGATTGGCCAACCAATCGGCTAACTCTTTGAATCGGTTGACAAGTAATGATTAGGTTTCCACGATTGATCAATAAGGTTTATTTTCATTCATTTATTTATTTCATTCTTCACATAGTTGATTATTTATGATGAAAATTGTTAGTGTTTAAAGTGTAAATTTTAACACAAATAACGTTGTATTGTAATGACGAAAAACAACGATGTCTATATAATCTGAAGCGACTTTGATCCTCACCAATCTTCTTTCTCCTAACAACGAACAAGTTAACTAACCAAAGTTATCATTTTGAAAGAAAAAAAAAGCATACTGAGTGCCCTCAGCAAACCTTTGAGTGCGTGTAACATTCTTGCTCCCGCACTATCGTGTGAGCCCAAAAACATCAATAGTCGGGGCACCCAATCATCTCTCTTTGGGCCCTCCATCAACACCCTGTAGCCTAGCCTGTCTTGACTGTTCAGGCGATAGATCTAAATTTTTATTTGTAGAATATTATTAGTACTCTAAAAAAGCAATTTTATAAACCACACTCAACAAATATTTCACTCTTGGAAAGCGCATGTCGGATTTGCATACATATATTGATCCCAATTATGTCTCCAACATGTAGAGAAAGTTTAGAAGCTATTAGCCGTCTTCGCCTTTCGACCTTCTGTCTCTGAATTATTCTCAGTTTCTCTTACGCTTGTGCTGAAAACTAGTGATTTAGAGATTGGGCTATAAAAGATTATCGTCGCTCTTGTCTCCCATATTTATTTCACTAGAGATGAATTTTTTTAAATGCCAATAAGAATTTCATTTAGCTTTTTCGTGCACATATATGAACAGATTTAGAGGCATGAGAATATTACACAAAGGCTTCTTAGAAGTGAGCCACGCAACGTCTTGTGAACCTCTTCAATTCTACAGTTGGATTCAGCCACCTCCATCGAACTATTTGGAATTTCAAAGCCTTACAGAACGAGAGATATGACATGTCCAACTTTATATCATGCTCGAAGATGGAATGGTGCGATAGGTCTAACCGGGCGCCATAAAATGAGATGAGATATACGACAGGTCTAATCGTGTATCATACTCGACGTATATCGTATCTTGAGATCGAAACGTAACGCGAATACTCTCAACTCAAATACCGCGCACAAAAAATATGAACACTACATATCGTATTCTTCCACTCGTACATACCATACACCCAAACACGAAGAGCTTAACCTTAAAAGAACGATTTTTTTCCCACAAAACAAAGTAGCCAACCTCCTGCGATGCCAAGAAAAACCTTCGAGTGAAGTTCTTCCTTAAATTGTTGTCCTTCCCAGTTAAATACCCAGGGACAACCACTGAACTCCGCCACCGTGACATTCTTCAGCGACATCTCCATACTCAAGTATCTTCCTGCTGATTCCCTTCCCAACAATATATAGCTCATAAACATATACAAAGGAATCAGACTCGGACTCTCGCAATTTTTACAAGCTCCATTTATACACTTTACAACTTCAAATGCTCCATTGGGACACTCGATGATGGGATGAAAAATGGTCAACTTCAAAAGCTCCATTGGAACTACTGAATCTAACTGTTAATTTTAACTATAACTCTAAGATTGTGAGTTCTTTCGATTAAGCGGCGGGCAATGCCCAAAAAATAGGAAGCTATTTATTATTGTTTGTGCTTGACGTGCAAGGAAAGTAGTTAAAAAGGGAAGAACATGGAAGTATAATAGTATAAGAGTTGTAGAAGAAATGTAAAAGAAAGAGTACACGCTAATAACAAAAAACTATTCATAGTTGTTTTCAAAGATTTAGTTAAAGCGCAGTAAGTTAAATGTTAAGAATTTAGATAACATTAACAAGTATGTTAAGCAAAATCTTGAAAAAGTTAAAAAAAAAAAAAGCATAAGGGCTGGTTTGGTATTGTTATGCTTTGAAAAAAAACTATTTCTGCTGTGCTGTGAGAATAAGCTCATATTTACTGTTTCACGTTTTTAGCCTTTTTTTTTTACACAAAATTGTGAAAATAATCTATTTTTAAGTATTTACAAAACATCTTTTTGAGCGTTGTTTTTTTTATATCCACTTTTTATAAAGATGCCACATTACCACGTACAGGAATTTCTGATCTAAAAAGGTTAACTGTACGTTAATCACAGTTAGATTAGCAGCTTTACACACGACGAATGCAAAAAATGTAAGCCTGCCAGTCCCATTAATACCAGCAATTCTCATCAGCCACGATTAAAATAAAAGAGAAAACTAGCTAGCAAATGAGAAGAAATGAAAAGGGTCAAGTACTTAACTCGATCATCTTTCAGCTCGGCTCATCATCCAAAAGCAGATGGGATCACAGTGATGTGCCTCAGCGGCTGGGAAACATCGGTGCCTCCGGCATGCTGCACGAATTCAGCCGGCGAGAATGCGGTTCCATGGCAGACACACACGATGGTGATCTCAGATTTCGTGTATCTGTACAACAACCCATGAACCGTTTTCCCGTTCGGGCCGGTCCCGGTCGTCGAGACGTAAGGCATTTGGGGAAGGGAAACCGCATTGCTGCCATTTTTGCTCATCGGGGGTTTCGGAGGCTTGGAAATTGGGTCCGGTTTGGCAATTTCCTTCAGTGGAGGAAATGGAGGAGAAGAATCTTGTTTCGGTGACTTGGGTTTTAGGATTTGAGCCGGTTCCGCGTTTTCTGATTTGGGTTCTGTTTTTGGATTCAGTTTTTGTTCATTCCCTTTGGGATTGGATTCCAAGGAATTTGAAACCGGCTCTATGTTTTCTTGTATGCTCTGGCCTGAATGGCTTCTGCTCTCACTGCTTCCACCACCTAAGAAATTTCAAAAACCAAAAAGTCAGAATCATTTCCCGAGTTAAACCCTTTATTTCTGGCGTTTGGATGAATACAATAAACGCATAAACAAAAAGAGTGTGCGTAAATCATTTCCCGAGTTATAAACATTTTAGCATACCTTCATGAGAAGCTGCGCTTTGATTATCTGACACGGTGGAGGAACTACACACTGGTGAAACATTTGTCCACGCCGGTTTCTTACCCAACCCACCATTTACCGACGCCGTTTTACCCGACCCACCATTTACCGATGCCGTTTTACCCGATCCACCATTCTGCTCCTTCTCACACCCGTTATTCAACATCGGCTTATGCGCCTGAAAATGCCGAAAACCCCCGCCGCCGCTTGGGCCCCAGCACGGCATCACGCAAGGATTCGTGTACGGAACAAAATGGACCGGCGGGTACGGGTACTGAACCGGGTAGCGCAGCTCCCTTTGTCCGTTGCTCAAATTCAGATTGATCACATTCACATTCGTCTCCGTTCTCTCTTTCTTCACCCCAGGCTGCTCTTCCGCTTGGGAACCGTTCAGTCCCCGGATTTTCTTCTCCTCCCGCTTCCTCTTCGCTTCCTGCCTTCTCAACGCCTGCATCTCCCGCTTCGTCTGCGGATCCAGACGAGCGCTCTCCGGCTCCGACTGTTCTATCGGCGACGGAGAAGGCGCGTGCGGTTGGGACGGCAGCGTTTGGTGCTCGTTCTCTCTCGGAGCTACATCGAACCCGTTGGCCAGCTTCGAGTTCTCCGGCCTTCCAAAGCTGCCGCCGATCGACAGCCCCAAATCCAGCTCAATCTCCTCCTCTTTCAATCCCGATTTGGATACCTCTCCCATTTTTGCAGAACTAAAAATTTTAAAAAGCTTCAAGCTTCAGTCCATTTTTTTTGTTTGCTCTGAAAATCCCTTAGGGTTTTTTAGGTTCAGAATTTCTGAGAGAGAGGGGGAAAGCGGGGAAATAGCTGGGGACCGAAGCGATTGAGAGCTGTACGTGGCAGAAAATCAGAAGGAGACAGGGACGGTGGGTGGACACGTAGGATATTTTGAATATATTTAGCAAAAAGGATTAGCTACTAATCCTGATTTAGCGCTAAAACTAAGAGTGTATTTTTTCTCACCACCATTTAGTGTGATGTATGCTCACCATCATATTTATCATCGTTAGATGAGTTTGAATTTTGAGATTTGTGCCTATTCACTACACGAATCTCGAAATTTAAACTCATCTAACTGTGATAAATAGGATGGTGAGCATACACCATATTAAATGATGGTGAGCAAAAATGCTTTCCTAAAACTAATCATGTTTTGCCTGTTAATACGTTAATTTAGCGGGAATCAATCTCTTCTCAAGTGAAATGAGAAGTTCGGCGCACGCTCGTAGGTTCGCAGCGCGCGCCACGTGGCACACTTGCATGAAGAGCTTGGTGACTGACACGCGTACGCCCCTGGCTCCCGTGAAATTAACAGCGGATAGGCGGAGAGCTCCGTAAAATCAGTCAGCCTGTCACCCGCGAATCTCAACCGTCCTTTTCAGTCCAGGTATCCCAGGAAAGCAAAGTCTGCGTGGCAATGTACTTTGTCGACACGTGTCGTAGTCGGGTATCTGTCTGGGGCCTTGTCCCATGAAGCAAAGGTCGAAACGTGGCGCATCACAGCTCAACAACGTCAATTTGGTCCGCCCCTTTTACGGAAAATGATGTTGAAGTGTGAGGTGGTTCATGTACGGTGATGCCGACACGCGGTGGAAGAGGAGTGGTTGGAGTAGGTTGTCTACGTAAGGCATTGGACACGTGGCGGCGTCTCGGGAGATGAGTTTGTTTCTAAAAGGAGAAGACAAGGTGGTGTGTAGCGCATACACCAGGTTTGAAATGCGTATAACCGACGCTTCAGATGGGACCAACAGAGAGTTTTCAGTATGACCGTCATATAAGATGGTATATCACGTGTTTTTATCGAAATAGTGAGTTATGTGTGTTAAAATGTTAATAATTTAAACATTAATTTTTTTTACTATTTACATAAAATTACATGATGTATCATCCGTATTCCTATTACAATTAAAAATTTCTTGTTCTCAAGGATCCAATATGACCATTTAGATCTGTGTTGCCGTTATATTGTTTTATGGAAGCGGTGGGGGCAGAAATTTGGCTCGGTTTTTTTTTTTTTTGGTGTCGTAGGGAAGGAATTAGCCTTTCTAACGTACGATGGTTGGTTGCCATGTGTCGTTTTTGGGGAGTCATAAGTCACCGTGGGCCAGGAGACTTTCATAAAATTAGGACTTATTAGAGACACATGGGTGTCGGCAAGGTGTTTGAATAGAGTCACGTAAATGCACTTAAGTAATGTTTGACTGTTTATGCACGTTGGATTTTAGCAATTTCTTATCATGGACGCATGATGGGCGCACATCTCATAAATAGTCAGATAAATGTTAGTAATTATTTCCAGCAACACGCATATGAGTAATTTCTAGTGAGACTTACATATTGTCCAGTCAATTGTGTGTGAGCAATTGAGTTTAGGCCATCTCCAACTGGATGAGACAGTGAACTTGCTTTAGCCCTCTGGTATTCTAAAAAATTAATATTTTAATAAATAATGCATGATCATATTTTTTTACTATTTCCAATCGAGTGACTAGATGGTTATAGGCCAAACATAATCATATGACAAAAAATCATCTCCAACCAAGGGCCAAAGGGTTTTAGTATGAAATGTGAAGAATTGAAATAAAATAAGGTAGGATAATATGAAATGGTGAAAAATATGTAAGAAATAGTGTAGGAAAAAATTAGAAATTTAAAAATAAAAAAAAAAGCATCAAAAAAGAAAAAAGAAAAAAAAGTGGGCTGGCTGGAGATGGCCATCCCGTTGGTCTGATTGGCTGGTTTTGGCCGGGTAGGGCCCATAGGCCCTTTGGCCTAACCTTCGGTTGGAGACGGTTTTCAGATTATTTTCGATCTTTTGGCCCTCTAGACCCTTTAATTGGAGATGACTTTAGCTGAATTCATAGGTATCTACTTGTGGAGCTGACGTAGCTACATCCATCGCCAACAGGCAAGTGTGATGTATGACTATTGACTACTAATGGTGTGAGATTCACATCTCATAAATAATCAATGCGTGTATGCGACTGACCACAACAAAATTCATCTGTACATATGATGAGTGAAAAAAAATATATAAACCACAACAACTCTGGTCTTTCGGTTTTCCTTTTCTTTTGTTTTGTACTAACCATGTCTTACGACACCCAAAAGCATAAATAAAGAAAAAAAAAAGAAAATGGTCATTACATAGCTTGGTTTCCTCGTTTGCTTCCTCATGTCACATGATGTTTGTATAGTCATCCGAAAACTGATGGCGGGTGTAATCCTAGACCGGAGGCATCCTCATTACCAGCTGCCCTTCCATTTACTGTGAAACACAGAATAAGTGTTCAAAGGGTTATGCGAACATCGGAGTCGGGGTTGGTAATTAGAGTGTAAAGCATTGTATACAAGCTCCCGCTAACAAAAACGGTCGTATTAAGCGAGGGGCTGAATGTAAGAGAAGGGGTTGAATACGAGATTTTTCTTCTTCGCGACTTACCTCTTTATGTAGTAGTAACAAAAGTCAGCTAAGATGAATGTTTGGACCATCTCACAGAGGAAAACTGCCAAAATCCAGAAATACCCGCTCCCGACTAAAAATATATATCCTCCTCTAGTCTCGTAGATCTGCAAGAGAATGGCAAAGCATTGCATTATTCCGATATACCTTGTTATGTATGTACAAGTATATACCTCCCTCTAGTCTCGTAGATCGGCAAGAAGTCATGCCTAACCTGAATAATCCAATGAGCACACGCCAAGAACCTTGAAATGCCCAATGCAAATACGTAATGCGAGGTAAATGGTTCGATCATCTGAAAGCAAATCATCATCAGAAGAAAACAAAGATCAATTGATCTGGTAAATGAGTGGTTCAAGAGCTTTAATCTGATGTAATCGCAACCTTCGCATTCTGCATCAAACGGAGTTGAGGCAGTACCGAAACGGCTTCCATGTATGCACTAAATGCCCATAGGATTCGACTGATGCGGTTATATAGTGTATACGGGTGGACAAGCACGCCAAGGACAGCAGCAGGCACCACCTGCAATTCAAATGAAATTAAGTTGCGGTTTTTGTGGTAAAAAACAAGTATAATAATCTTGCACCCTTTATAAAGTTGCAATGTAAATTCCAACTTCTTTGCTTCAAAGTTGAAGCAGAGCAAATACGTACATTCAAGATCATTGCACATTGTCAGTAAGGGGTATGAACTATGAATAGTGGATTGAGGTGGCCAGAGTTAAAGCAACTCATGCACATGGAAGCAGCTTCAAATCTTCTCAAATCAGAAGCCTAATTTTCTTTTCCTATGTGCGGTTTGTAAGGAGACGCCATTTGGTTTTATTACATGGGGCAATGGCAAATCATGCTATGGAGATGCATAGTAGGGAAAAGAAAGTACAAATAATAAGCAATTTTACGTCTCCAATTTAGTCTCACTCGAAAATTTTAATCTCTAAGAAGCGCTAAAGAGGATGGTATATTTGTTAATAGCACCAGTGTTTTAATATTGTCATCAAATAATTCCTACATACACAAAGCATATGATATTGATGAATCAACATATGAAATGTAGGGTACGCACATGTATACATATATGCATTTTCTCTTCAAATTGTACTGGCCGATATATATACACAAACACTTAAGACAAAGGGAGATTAATATAAATTTGATACTAATAACAATAAATAACAGCAGCAGATTAAAGATTTACCACATAATATAAGCGAAAATTGTCCAGTTCATTGATGTAGGTTGACTTCAATTTAAACTGTATCATGTATATAACCCACACTGTTGAAACGAGCGTAGAAAAATCGAGCACAGTGTGAATGTCGCCCTCCATCATGGTACTGCAAAATAATCTTACTGCTAGGAAGAGAGCTGTGAGTTCCTGAGTCTTCAGGGAAAGACCTGAGAATGTAATAGATACCAACTGATTAGCCAAAGAACTTGGCACATTGAAAATATATATGCACTAAAGCTGATAATTAACAAATGTATTACTATGAAACGATTACTTAGAATGTTAACTCATTTAACTACCTGATAAATGATAGGTCAGATTAAACTCGAATTTAACCACCTGATCAAATGAGAGGTAAGATTAAACTCGAACTACCGGATCAAATTAGAGGTCAGATTAATCAATTGAATAATTGTACTGCAGAATCATGAGCCGCACTTACTTTCGATTTATTTACCACAATAATGAATGAGATTGATACTCCAAATTTATTAAACATAGGGAATATTTGTATAAAAAAGAGTGCATGATGGTATATCTGGAGTGCCAATAACATCATCCTAATAATTTTATAATTTACAGAGGTAATTTACTGACATATTTGTCGATTTACTCCATGAACTTGCATAGAGCTGTCAGTTTCCCAAATAAACTTTAATTTTAGCCGATTACACCATGAACTTTTATAGTTATCTAATTTCCCCCTTGAACTTTAATTTTAGTCAATTACTCATTTAAACTTTTATAAATAGCCAATTTTCCTCTGACGCTATATTTTGAAAAATTTCATCCAATTTTCTATCAACTTTGATCACGTGAACAATACAAGACAACTGGGGAGAAAAAAGAATGGAAAATTGGATGAAAAATATTAAAATCTAACGCTAGGAAAGAAATTGACTATTTATAAAATTTATCGGCTAAAGTTACTCTCCCAATACAGGGCTTGAGGCATGTGACTCTAGTGATATTAAAAATTGGATACAAAAACGAACCGATTCCAAACCAGCATAAATCATGACAAATCAAATCAATAAAAATCCAAGAACTCAAATAGTATCCCAAATAAAAAAAATCAAATTATGAAGAATTGA